GGCCCGATCGAGATTGTGGAGATGAGATTGTGCCGGATTCGAGGGCGAATCCTTTTTGGGAGGGGGAGAATGATGGAGATTATTACTGATTATATATTTCCTTTATTATTAATATTTACATAATAATTTTTGTAGGATAGTATTTATTTATCTTATCCCATATTTACTTTCCCTAATCATTTTCTTGTTAGACAAAGTTATTTGTTTATGGCTTTTAGGAGTTCTATTTAAATGACCCATTTCCTATTGTTTTGGTTGGTTGATTTTGAATAAAAGAATATATTGAGAGTTTTCTCTTAATTCTCCCAATCGTATATGCTTCCGCTACGTCAGTAATTAAAAATGTGTGAGTAAATGAATTGTGAATTAAAGTTGATGTGATATATATGATAAAAATATTGAAGAGAGTTGTGTTGAGTTAAATTTGAGTTGATTTTTCAATTAAAAAGTGTTAAAAAATTATTTGGTTGAGTTAAATTAGATAATACTTGTTTCCAATCGCAATCTTAATAAATCTAAAACCTTAAACGAGGTGTTAACGAGCAAATATTCATGTTTGCGAATAATTTTGGATCAACCATATATTTAAAATCCATATAAAATAAAAAATAAGTTAATTAAAGACGAGTTGTTTGTGAACAAGCTAAGTTCGTTTTTCTAAATAAATGAGTATGATTAATTGTTTGAGCTCGACTCATTACAATAAATGAATGGGTTGGGCTTGAGCTTTCATGAATTGAATCAAGTTGTGTTCATGAATCTCGGTTCGTATAACAACTTTAGTACTGAAATCCTTTAAAATGATGAGATTTTTTTAGAGAAAATTAGATATTTTTTTTTCCACATGGGGAGCGGTCAAATCAATTGTTGGGATTAATTAATTGTCACACGAAAGAAAATGCTAAAGAAAAATACAATGCCATGGAAACATGTCAAAATGAATTTGGTAACGTAGAAAATAGGGCTTGCTTTGATATAAGTTGTTGTTTTTTTTTAGTTTTTTGGTTAATCAGATAATTTTGAAAAAAAAAAATATTTGTGTTAAATTTAAGTGGAATTTTGAGATTGTATTAAAATAATATTTGAAATAAAATAATTAAAGTTGATTTGATGTAAAAGTAGGAGACAAGTGATTGAAAATGATGGCCAGTTAAAATTATGTGAGTTGATGAATAATGAATTAAAGTTGATGTAATGTATAAAAATGATTGATTGATTTTATTTAATTATACTGATAATATTGAAGATAGTGGAGTTGAGTTAAATTTGTGTTGGGATTGATTTTTTTTTCTTTTTTATTGTAAAATCTATATCCAAGCATGCACTACGCATTTGGGATGCACAATTTACAAAAAGTAGAGGTGCACCGAAAAAACATCGTAAGACAAGTCCATTGGAGACAAGTTCACGGAAATCAAAGAGTCATAAGGCGATGAGTGTGACTATTCAATAATGTTATTCTGATTTGGTTTGTTTTTTATAGATATTATTTATTTTTATTCAAAGGAAATACCATAGGTGTTGACGAGTGGTCACCAACTATCTTAGTTAAGAAACTAAAGACAAGTTAGAGATGTTTTACAGGCACGATTTGAAATAATAGCACACAAAATAAGTTGAAAAATACAAGAAGTTAAGAGCGCACACGATTTGTTGATCGCTTGCTAGATTGACAATGAAAATTTGTATTATGAGTATTACTTTTTGTATGGTATATGATAGTTGTATCTGATTGTTGTTCGTATGAGGTGATAAGTATCTCATTTATATAAAGAAAAAGTAAAAGTACAATGATGGCAGTATGCCAACTTAGGGGCTAGGTAGTTGATCGACACGTGTGGCCATGCAAAAATCCGACTTTTGAGAACGAGACATGTATTTCGGCCTTTTAAGATGGGACCGGTTGGGTGGTCACTTTAACGGTTCCATTGTCAGAAGTCGTTCACGTTCTGCAGAGAGATCGACAACGTGTCATTACTGGGTCATCGACAATCAACTCGGCAGAGAGATCAGCATGATGCACGACATTATGGGCCGATTTCACTTATTTTAGGAGCTTGAGCTTATTTGGGCCATCATAATTTGGACTCTTTTATGATGGTCTTTAATTCTATAAACGTGTGTAACAAGGGGAACCCTAGGTTTTCGTAACGTCAGGGATATCGCCAGGTCACCGTGGGGTCGGAGAAGTTGTTTGCTACTTTTTGTCGTGGAGAAGTTGACAATCCTGGATTAAAAGTTATCCCCTCACTTCATTTGAGATAACCAGCGAGGCAGTTGATGAGTCGGTTTATTTCGTGGGACATGTGAAAGCATATAGAGGCAACAACGTGCGCACTTCTGCGAGAACATATGTATTTCATCCGATCTGTCTGGACTCCTCAAAGTTGCAGTAAGTCCATAAATAGGTTATTTCAAAATGTTCTTTTCTTGTTAACTCTTGCCTTCAACTTCTTTCTTGACGGTTACTGCATTAGGGTTTCTGGATAGCATTTTTTATAGGCGAGACATCTGCACTCGACCGGGTAACTATAAGTGCATCGTTTTTTTTTTTTTAATAATCTTGGTATCGATAATATGTCAGAGATTAGCCAATATTTTGACATGGAGGTGGGGGAAGTTGCGCTGAAGGGCGATCGAGCTAGCTAAATAAGATACCCAATCATTACTAAAAGTGGAATCCATGAGATTCAAGCATTGATAGAGAAAGAATCTACGGTGCCTACGCCTGAGGGGTATTAGAGACAAACTCCATTGAAAGATTCGGATAGATCTGGTGAGATATAGATCTGCTATCTTAAAGGATGTTGACGTGGTCAAGTTGAGGCAAAAATTGGGGGTGTCATCGTCAGTGAAGATATTTGTGTCATATAAGGAGGAGATGATCCATTGCCCACCATCGATGAGTGTCGTTGTGTATAGAGAATCAATGATCTCTTGCTTAGAGGCTGATTGTTTATGGATTCAACTAGTTTTTATTTGGTTTGTTTTTTAACTATAGTTAATTATGAATAAGGTGGTATGGTTAGTTGTTAGTGGATGTATTAAAATAATATTTAAATAAAATAAATAAAGTTGATTTGATGTAAAGTATGAGAAAAATGATTGGAAGTGATAGTTAGTTAAAATTATGTGAGTGGATGAATAATGAATTGATGTTGATTTGATGTGTAAAAATGATTGGTTGATATTATTAAATTATATTGATAATATTGAAGATAATGAGGTTGGGTTAAAGTTGAGTTAAATTTGAGTTTTGATTGATATTTTTACTATTCAATTTATATCCATTCGCCCCCTTAAGGTTTCCTCTTCCTCAGATATTCTCAGAGTATATGCGAGAGAGTGGGATCAATGTGAGCCAAATCCATGCAAACACTTGGTACTGGCTTTGTTCTCTCATCATGCTTTTTCAGAAGAAGGTACGGTTGCCACCAATTGTGGATGATTTAGATTCAAGTTTGATGTGGAAGACATCCAAAACGGAATCTGGGTATTTTCATTTGGCACTGTGGGATGATAATTATGCAGGCCTGGTGGTGAATCTCCCTGAGTCTCGTTACAAATGGTGACATAAATGGTTTTGGGTCTCTAGATATTAGAAGACGTGTCGATCTTCAACAGGCTTCAGGATTGGTAATGTTATGGATGTATCAATTAAACTAGTGGAGAAGTTGAGTAAGTGCCTGCAGTTTTGAATAACATTTTATCGTTCAAAATAATATGATCATCGAGATTTTTATGTAGCGGACAAGACAATACCGTCTTTGACCTCAAGATTTAGAGGATAGATTGGTGTCAATTCCGATTTTATCAAAACAAGAGAAGTGTTGCAAACTCTTAACGATAATTGAGGAGTTGTCATCAACTGAGTTTCATCCAACAGGGATTGACACAATGATTGAACCATGTAATTTTTTTGAATTTGGTCAGTTAGGTGGATCGCCTCCACAATAGAAGCATTCTTATTGGAACGTCACATTTGTAGTATTCTATCCAGCGAAAAATTTGTCGGGGGCTTCCTCCATAGAAGAATATAGAGAAATAGAGAGGATCAACAATTTAAAGAAGGATAAAAAGACTGAGATGACAACTCAAAGGTTAGTTTTATGTGGGCGGCCTGTGACACTATTGCGATATCTTCAAATGATCAAAGTGTGAAACACTGATCCACAGTTAATGTTGAAAAGGCAAGGGATCACATTTATTAAATTATGGAGAAAGAGACCAAGGGACAGGTTGTCCATCTGGCCGAAGGAAGAGCAGCGGCAACCACGATTGAAGAGACTTGTCCATGTTCAGTCATTCTAGAGGCAAGGGTGTCCTCAAGGGTTGCAAGTTGCAACTGGGATGGACCATGTTGTTCCGCTTTGGCCACAGTTGACTCCTATGCCTAAAAAGGAATAAGAGGCACCACAGGAAACATAGAACGCAAATGTCAGTTATCTCTCTCGCGATCCTTCAATGGAGGAGATCGCAAGAAGTTTTAAAAGAAAGAGGCCTGATTGGTGCGCAGTTTTATGGAATCGTCTGTCCCTGAGATTCCAAACCCTTATGGTACTCGGGGAAAAACTCTAAATGTGGCCCAGATTCTAATTGACGTTGTGGTCATTTTTGATGTAGCATAAATTAAAATTACATATTCAAAATATAATCAGTTTATTAACCAGCTAATAATCGTTATCAGGTATACCAACTGCATAATACACTGACACAAATTTAATAAAGTAAAATTCATTAGGTAGCATTGAATAATACTGCAGATACATATTTTTCCGTAATTATAGCTCACGTACAGCACATGTGTTAGCTTAGCTGTCAAAAACCCACGCACGATGGCTCTATCGTAATTACGCGTAACTTCAGGTGCACAGGTTTTGCCCCTTCCCTCATTTAACCCCCAATTCTCGACCACGCCAAGTCCTCGGCCTTCTGTATCACGGCGGAGCTCCCAATACCTCGTCGTATAGAGAGAGCTTCACAATTCTGGCTGAATAAAGATGCCTCCGACAAAGCACAAGCAGAAGCACCACCATCACCACCACCGTTCTTCCACCTCTTCCATGGCCGCCGCCACCGCCGCTGGCACCATGGAAGAAGACTGGAGAGAGGAAGCAATCAGCACCGGATCTCTGAAGCGCGTCGATCTCCACACTGGATCCAATGGCTGGGCGTCGCCCCCGGGCGATCTGTTTTCCCTCCGCGGACCGAATTACTTCACGAAGAAGGCCAAAGTCCCTGCCGGCGAGTGGCTGCTCGAACCGGCCGGCGTCGATTGGCTCAGATCCAGCGCCAAACTCGACCACGTCCTCGCCCGTCCCGACAACCGAGTCATGAACGCACTCCGCGGCTCGAGATCGTCCAAGGCCTTTATCATCGCCGTAAACCTTCAGGTCCCCGGGCGCGAGCATCACTCGGCGGTGTTCTACTTCTCCAGCAAAATAGACGAGCCGATAAATTCCAATCCCCTGCTCTACCAGTTCATCAATGGCACGGACGCTTTCCGCAACAGCCGTTTCAAGATCGTGAATAAGATCGTGAAGGGGCCTTGGATTGTGAAAACCACCGTGGGGAATTACTCGGCGTGCCTCTTGGGGAAGGCTCTGAACTGCCACTATCACCGGGGCCCTAATTATCTGGAGATCGATGTCGATATTGGCAGCTCGGCCATAGCCACTGCCATCCTGCGGCTGGCGCTGGGTTGCGTTACAGCTGTGACTGTGGACATGGGTTTTTTGGTGGAGGCACAGAAGGAGGAGGAACTGCCTGAGAGACTGTTTGGCGCCGTGAGGATTTGCCAGATGGAGATGAGCTCAGCCACATTTGTGGATAGCGCCACGCCCTCGAGCAAGGTTTTGCCCATGAGCAGTGGGGGCGAGAGTGAAAATGAGGATGATGATTGATTACTTCTGGAACTTTGATTAAGAGATTTTCTTTTCGTTACCTTAGCCGCAGGTAAGTTTCTTTAATTTATAACCGATGATGGTGAAAAGAGGAAAAGATGAAGGGATAGGATCCCTTAGTAATGGGGATTAATGAGTGTAGATAATAACTGTTTGATGGCAATGCTAAATTCGCTTTCAACTTATGCTGTGCCATTGTTGGGTTTTTCATTTCTTGATAATAAATTTACTGTTAAGTTTATGTTTCCTTTGCCCAGGAGAAGAACAAATACCAAACCAGAGTTAATTTTGAACAGTTATGGAAATATGTGCCATTACCGCATAAATATGTAATGTGATAAACCAATGATGTTATTGATATTGATATGAAATGTTGGAGCCTATGTATCATTTTTGGCTTTGGTTGACCTTTTACTTTCCAATCGACCTTTTAAACTATAACATGCACTCGTTGATTGAAATGGCATTATGTCATATTGGGGTTTTCACTTTGTGGAAAAATGTGATGTAATATTGGTGGCATTCTATTTATCATTTGGATCGATAATATAACTTTTGGTCTTCTTCACTATTATTATGAACAAGCATGGACTTGCTATCGTTACTGGTTAAACTTCCATTTTGTTAAGTTTGCAAGTTTTCTTTTTTTTTTTTCGCTGCTGTAGTTCTCACATTGATGAAGGATGGATTCATTTGTTCTTTTATATATCATGGATAGTATTTATGGATAGATGGAGCTTGGAGCTTGTTACAACTTGTTTATTGGTTCATGCTTCAGGTATACGGTGTCTAATTGTGAGATTCTTTGTTTGTGTGATTGATATGGATTGTTGAGATAAATTAATGAGGGAAGGTTTATAGTTACATTTTTTCCTTCTAAAATCCTATCCCCTTGGAAGCTTGAGGCTGGTATCTTATTGCTGCCACCTCATAACAACATGGTATGTGCTAGAAATCATTCAACTTTAATTAATTTCAAATTTGCTTTGTCATCAGCCAAATTGTATGTAGTTGATCATAAGTAGGTAGTAGAGCCACCATTTGCTTCTCCCATTTTATTCAGCTAATTAAATTAAGTTATTTTATTTTATTTGCGTGATGGGCTGGCTGGAAAGGTACATTTGATTGAATTCTTATTTTTCTTGATCTGTGAGCACTTTTGTATTCTTCTTTGCTGTTTGGCTGTGAGTTGAGTCAGAGGATAGGGCTCAAAGCTGATTGCTTTATGTGTGTTTGTCCACCACAACAGTTGTGACTATTGAATTCATGAGTCTGACTGTGACAACTCCCTATACTTTTCATAAAAGCGTAAGTCGATTCATTCCATTGTGAAATTACTGATGAGCTTTTGACAGTGCTGGAAATGTACTTTAACATCATCTTGCGATTGGATGTGCTTATGATGTTATCTATAGAGACATGATAGTTGTCTTTTGTCCATGGCGTACTTCTCTCTTTCTTCTTAGTTTTTGATAGCCATGAGTGAATGTCCAACGAATCTTCGGGGGGACCCCTTTTTCGTTTTTGGTCGAAATAGAAATGTTACCATTTGACTGCTGGTTCTTATACTTGGTTGTTGGGTTGAATTGTTAACTTGCTTTATGGCATCAACAGCACATGTGGTTTGAAGAGAAATTTGCACAGTTTTAAGAGGGTCCATACTAGAATTTGTGCAAAATATGTAATCATATGAGTGATTTATTTTCCTATTAGTTTGAAAAGGTGGACAAGAAGATGTGGGTAGCTCTTCAAATACATCAAGTGGTTCGCGAGTTGAGAAAGCAATATTCGTGCCAAGCATTTGTCTGTTTTGTCGAGTCGAGCTGAGCTTTAAAATGCTCGAGTCGCGGCACTTTAGCTTTAGTAGCTTTATTGAAAAAAAAAGAAAAAGAAAATGAGCCTAACTCAATAAAGTCAATACTTTACTAAGCTCGCCATCTTTAGCTTGGGAAACAACAAAAGTGGTTTTATTACTGAATAAAATCTCGGCGAACACTCTTTTTCTTTATCCTAAATTTCCCTGCAAAGCGTTAGATGAGGCCTCAAAGTCAACTCACTGGTAAATGGCGACTGATGGAGTTCTATTATCTATTCAAAATATTTCATGAACTTCTCATGTCCAATATACGAGGGGTTGTTATGATCATTGTTATGGTATTACTATATTAAAAATAGGGGTTGTTATGATCATGGTTGTTATGGTATTACTATTTAAAAAAAAAAAAATGGAGCTGATAGTCAATAGTTTGTATGAGAAGATTGTCATTATTATTGGTTGTTATGGCACCTAACTATTTAGTATATTGAAAAGAAAGGAGCTGAAATATTCAATATTTTCTTTGTTTGGGGAACCTGTAATTAGGAGAAATTTGCTATTCATCCCCCAATTCTTAGAGTTCTGTGCCAATTGATTGCTTTTGTCATTACTGTGTGTTTGTCCACCAGAAACACTTGTGACTATTGAATTCATGGGTCTGACTGAGTGTGACAACTCTCTTATTTCCACAAAAACTTAAGGCGAATCTCTCAATTATAACAGTATTTGGACAGTGCTGGAAATGTACTTTAACATCATCCTGCGGTTGGATGAGCTTATGATGTTATCTTTAGAGACATGATAGTTATCTTCTTTCCCCGTACCCGTCTCTTTTTTCTTAGTTTTTGATAGTCATAGTGAATGGCCAACAAATCTTTGGGGGACCCTTTTCTTGTTTCTGGTCCTAATACTTGGTCGTTGGGTTGAATTGCTTTATGGCATCAACCGCGCCTGTGGTTTTGAAGAGGAATTCGCACCTACAGTTTTAGAGATGTTAAGAGGGTTCATGCTGGAATTTATCATAATATGTTAATCATTTTTATGGGGTTGAATCCAAAATAGACAATGCACAATTGTACCTCTCAAGTTATCTAGAGAAACAAATATTAGGAGTCCTATCCGGACAACCAATCACCAATAACAAACAGGGGTTTATTTAATATGCATTGTACAATTCATCATCCATCATCACTACAACAAAATGTATATATATCGAGACAGTTTGTTTGGGATACTTATTAATACTAGTAAGGGTTGCACGGGCATTGCGCGTGTACCAAATTTCAATTTAAGTTCATTATAGCCAGGTTGGAATTATTGGGGTTCCATTTGGAACACGCCGTACTCATGTAAGTCATAGATCTTAAAGTCTATGAAAGATTTAATCCTAAGCACAACAAACTAGAGTTAAAATCGAATACTCACGGCTTAAAAAATTGCAGGCTCCGAGACATTTTTTTCTTTTTTTATTTCCGTTGATGGAGATTTTCTAATCGCTCGTCAATCGCCGAAATCAGAAACGGGTGGCCGAAGGGGATCGCCAGTCGCGGGGTTCGTATGTTGCGAGTTGCCGGGGCTTCATCGTGAGTCGCGGGGCTGCATCACGGTGGTGGACGGCGGGCGGTCGGCGGACACGGGGCTCTAGATTTATCTCGGACTTCTATTGTATTACCTTTACACACTTTGTTTGTCTTGGTGGCTAACTCACAAAGCTCTCAATTATGATTTTCATCACCATGAGGTGTGTATTTATAGGCTACAATAGGGACCCTAAGGAGGTTCAAATATGGGTTTACCAAATATGGGTCCAACTGTGCGCCAAGCCTACTAACTACTATGCTCATATTTGAACGGTTCTTTAGTCCATTAAAGAAAAACTGGTGATCTCCCCATTTGGCTCCCAAATTACAATTCGAGGCTTCGATAATAATTACGCGATTTATCTCCTCGTGTTTATGATATAATGCCGTTAATTAATTAATTACTGATAATTAATTGACTACTTGTGTCGAGACTAGTACCATTCAATGTTTCATTATTATGTCGGAACTTAATCCGTCTACATGGTTTAACACAATAATCCTTATTTAGCTCATCTCAGGGGAATCATCAGACTATAGCGCACTGTTGGATTTTAGACGTACGAATCATTCGCACGCGCAGCGGAATTTTAAAATTTTTCTTACCAACAACGAAGATCCGGCTATAGCTATTCGATACGATCCTAGATCGCGTGAATGATACACGAAAACTTACAGTTATTCGTCTTTTGTCCTCGACTATGGTATCCACGCAATCCAGTTTTCCGGTGCACGATCTAACGCCAATGAATCCCTTCCGGTGAACAAGATAGGAATCCTCGATCCAGAATGCTAGAAAGTGTTTTTATTTTACAATGTGTCTCTCATCTTCTCTCATCTAATGATTCGATCTAATAAACATGTACAAAGGCACTATCATTATTGATAGAGGAAAAATAAGTTAGAACGTGTTCAAGCTGGACATTACTTGAATGGTTCGTTCACCAAACCATTGTGCATAGTTGAGCACAATAGTCATTTTGAGAAAATGTGTATTAGATACATTGGTGATTGCCTCTAGTTCAAGTGGGAGATTGTTGGTATATGTGTCCTAGAGATAATCTTTTTAAGGACATATATACATGATCGCATTAATAATTATATTAGATTATAATTATGGTATTGCAATTAATTAAATAATTGTTTGATTGTTTGCAATTTATTAATTAATTGCTCCCTTGAGTTGATACTGTCATTAACAGAGTGAGATGTTAATTGATAAAGTATAACTCTTAAATCTCCTAAATCGATGATCATTAAGAAAAGGATATTAATGATACGCGATAGATTGGCATGTGGTCTGCATCATATTCTTTGAGAAGATAGTATGTCTCACTACTATGAATAATTGTTATTCGTGATGGATACATGGATACTTTAGAGAGTATTGACATACCCTACCGATAAACCATTTGTTTATGTGTCTATGGGAGTATCGGTGTGTGGAATGGTGTAATAGTCCTTTGACTTGAGGTCAACACGCAATTCATGTATAGAGTGATTTACTTAGACCTAGTCCAAAGCTTACGCCCTTATGGGTAGATACGGGTGTTGGGATCTGTGAGGATCTCGTTATGTACAAACACGAATTCAATAGCAAACGTAAACCTATGCGCAGCGGATCTAAAGGTTTGACGTAGAGAACTTACGGCTTAAAATTTATGTAGATCTGGTTGACCACGAACGGTTGACCGCAATTGATTGACCGCAACATGCGTCTTGGGTTGCACGAACAAGATCAGATCAAAACTGGATCAAACGGATGCAAACAGATCAAAACGAAATTTTGCTGCCAGACACCTTCCGGCGGCGCGTGAGGGCGCGTGCGGCGTCGGATTCCGTCGACGTCGGCGGCGATGGAAAGCTCTCGTCGAGACGGTCGTCTGGGTATACTGTACGTCTCAATCGGACTTTCGGTTAGTTCTGTAGGTCAAAATCTATTTCGTCTCGGTTTACCTACAGATCTTCTACTGTATTACTCAATACACCCTTCTTCAACTTGTACCAGTGGAGCAACAAGAAGAAGATAAAGCTCGAATGAGATCTGGAGAGAGAGACGCGTGGGGCGTGTATATGTCGTGAATATGAGATTTTTATTTTCTTCTCATGAGCTTAATGATATATATATAGAGCTACAGTAGGGATCCTAAGGAGATTAGGAAAAGGGCTCCTTAATTAATTAGACTAACTGTGGGCTAAGCCCACTCCTCTAATTAATTAAATAATATTAATGGGCCACCAACATTATATTATTGCACTCCCTCTTCCTAGCCCAAATTACATTTGAGACTCCAATAATAATTACTCGATTTACCTCCCCACGTTTAAGATATAATGTCCATTAATTAATTCGATTACTGACAATCAAGAATTAATTAATTTATTATTATTTCACCGAAGCTAGCGCTCGTTCATCACATTCTTATTATGCCGGAATTTAATCCACCTGCAGGGTTTAGCATAACAATCCTTCATGAACTCACTCCGGGGACATCATCAAACTAACGCACATGGTGACCGTAAATATCCTAACAGCACATCCTATATATAATAATATTACCCAAAACAGTAGGAATATTAATCCAGCGAACTGAACCTCACCCATGTGAATCAAAGTAATATATATTATATATATCTGCCTGTTTAATATCTTACGGGTTAAGAGAACGCAGTAATTAACCGAGGCCTAGTTCATTTACGACGATCAGTATAAAATGAACTTCTCCTCTCTGGGATCCTGTTCAATACATAAATGTACTAGTGCAACTAATCAGTCAAGACAAACTGTACAGTTGACACTACAACCGTTCGGATGGGGTGTTCATGTCCATCTAGGTTGTGAACAACTATTCTTGTTCGCAAGTAACTGATAGAGTGATCTTCGGTTCGCCCGATGACGACCCACCCTATCTAAGTGCAGAACAACAGAACGTAGAACTTGTTTAATCTAACATGATTCTCATTCATAAAGGGTAAATGTGTAATATCATGCAAAGCCAAGCTTTCAGTATATAACACTAACAACGAGCTTGTGTTGGGTTGGTCACGATATACATGGAATTGGTAGTTGAGTCAAGATAGGATTCATTCCTCGAATATAGTTTCGAGAGAACACTCGTTTTCTCTATACTGGGTTGATAAAGTCATTGGCTAATGCACGTGATTATATTTGAAATGGTGTTCAAATATAATTGATAAAATCAACCAATGAGATGAGATAAAATGATTAAGCTGTTTGGATAGACACACGTTCAAATCCTAAGCTTAATCGAGTGGTTCGTGAATGAAGGGACCGTATCACTATTGAGTTCTACACGAAAGGTTTGTTTGCTTGTCCATGTAATTAACGTACTTCATATTTTGAGTTCGTCCTTCGACGCAGTCTAGGAGTTTTGTAAGGATCATAAATTAGATTTATGTGAATATATGAAGGCCTATAGGGTCACACAATAAACAATCAGTTTTCCGGTAATTGGATTGAAATATTTATTTTTGAGTAATGAGATTATTTTCTATTTGATGGAAAATATTTAGTTAAGTTAAATTGGATTTACACTTAATTAAATTATTAATTGAAAAATAATTAATTAAGTTAAATTAGATTTATACTTAATTAAATTATTAATTGGATTAAGTCCAATTACCTATTGGGCTATAGGGTTTCCTAAGGCTCATATGATTAGGTTTGACCTAATTATAAGTATCTCATTATCTCATTCATAATCTTAATCGATTAGATCGAATCATTAGATGAGAGAAGATGAGAGACACAGACCGTAAATAATCAAACAACACACCACACACAACATCACTACCCACAACACGTCAAACTATTGACTCCACAGAATAAGTCTCACTTTTTAGTGAATCAAAGTAGCAGCTACTGTATGCACGTTCCTATTGATATCTTATGGGTTAAGATTACGCAGTAATTAATCGAAGTCTAGTTTGTTTACCGATCAGTTCAAAACAATCGTATCCCTCTCTCTGGGATTCGTTCAATGCGCACAGTGCATTAGTGCAACCAATCAGCCAAGACAGACTGTACAATTAACACTACAATCGTTCACGATGAGTTATTCATTTACGTCTCGGTTGTGAACTAATTATTTATCTGTCTCATTCGTGATGGATTACAAAATATAAATTTAAAACATCATAACATAAGAATTAAACGCGATTCTCATTCAAACGAAAGATAGTAGTGTTCGTAGTATCATTTGACATATTTATTCAATTAGTGTGTAAGGATCGATGGTGATGTAGTATAGCATTGGATCATGTATTATGATTTTAAGTGTTAGTAAATGTCATTATATGTTGTAGAACTTTTATTTTGAATATTTGTCTGGATTTTGTTGGAATTTGAATGAAAAGAATGTGGTTTTTAATTATTTTATAAATTATGGATGTGGAAATTCTGAGAGTATATTGTGGTATTGTTATTTATGGAGAAAATGTGCAGGATTTTTTTGCTGTATCATCTTTTGGCTCTATAGGGACATTTGAAAGTGTCCCAAAAATTATCATAATTAGAGAAATTATTTTGGAACATTTAAATTTGTCGTGATAGCATTTAGAGACAAACAATTGCCCCAATAAAATTTATGTGGAGACATTTTAAATGTCCCAAACAAGTGTCCCAAATAACTCTAATGCAACACACTTACACGGGATAATTTTTTGAAGTATCCCAAAAGCTAAAAGATCCCATAAGGTAGTATATTGAAATATTTTTTTGACCCAATAGATGATTTTTGTTAGGGAAGGAAAGGAGCTAAGACAATCGCAATGATCTCATTTTTTTTAGGAATCATAAATTAGTTAGGAGAGATCTCCTTAATTCGTTCATCTCTCAAATTTTCAATCGATTATACATTTTCTTCAAACACATTATTCAGCATTATGACATCCAATTCCAAGTAATTAATTACCTCTACTCACTCACAACCCCCAGCCCCAAACCCCAATTTTCCCCCCGCCACGTCATACACCACCTCCAGCGTCTTCTGCTGCGTATTCCCGAATATTCCCACATCGGTCTCCCTACTATTCCCCGCAAAAGCCAGACACACCGTCGTGGGCCCCACGGCAACCAATATCCCCGACGCCGCCAGCTCCACTTCCACATCCCCTTCAAAAACAAACTTCACAGCCGGAATCACAATACTCGTCGCATTCCCCAAATCATAACACGTGTCCAAAAGCGAGTACGCCCCCGTCCGCGCGTACTTCCCCATCAGCCTCCGGAAAGCCGCGCTCATCGGGCCGTAAGCCCCCGGTGCCAGCCGGGTAATAACCGTCCCCGAGTCTATAATACTGCCAGCTGTCTGAAAAACCGAGCGGTCAATCGCCACCTGTGCCCCGCCCACGTAAATCGAGACTATCTCGACAAAATAAAACGAATTCCCCCGCGAGCCCGCGAAAGGCGTGAACTTGACGTTATTTGGAGCCTCGCTGCCGCTTTTACCGAACGCGAGATGCCCCGTGAGGCTGGAGACGGAAGGGAGACAGTAGGAGAAGTATTGCCCGTATTTTTCAGCTGTTTGGGCCACGAACGAGAGCGGGTCCCGGCCCAGGCCCAATAGGCCCGCGGTGGACCCAAACAGGCCTTGATTTTTTTCTCCGCACCCGAATAGGAAATCCGGGAAGACGTCTTGTTGTGTGACGGTGAGTTTGTCCTTGCTGAAAAAGCCGACAGAGTATGAGGTGTCACCGTACTGCACGGCGTAGAGACAGGTGGCGCCCGAGCAGCCGGGGTTAATTCCGGTGGCGGAGGATAAGAGGGGGCATTGTGGGGAAGTGCAGGAGATGTTGGAGTAGGAGGTGGAGGAGGAAGGGTTGAATATGGGGTCACGCTGATTGTAGCATGACCTGGCGCACGGCTGGCATTGGGTCCATGTGAGGTCGCTGCCGGTGTCGAAAACGAGGGAGAGGGGCTTTTCGGGGGTGCCGAGGCGGACGATGACGATGTAGTTGCCAGTGTTGAAAGATCTGCCGGGCTGGGCTGGGAGGTTGGATTTTGTGTTTTTGAATGGGCTTGGGCTTGGGCTGGGGTTGATGCGGGCCTGGATGGATTTGACTCTGGATTGGTCGTGGGCGAGAATGTTGGATAAGGGTGGTGGGCTGGATTTGGTTTGGGTTTGCTGGGAAAAGCATGGGCCGTGATTGTGATGAACTTCCAGTGCTGCTGCTGATTGCCTCTGCCTCTGGGTGGAACCTGCATGTTAAGAGCGAGGAAACGAGATTTTTGNTAAAAAAAAAAAGAAAAAAAAAAACCTTGAGTCTCAATGATAGTTTATGAGATTATATATCACAACAAGAAAATGATGAAATTTCAACAGAAATATATTCAAATAGAATTTTAGTGGCTATTTTTCAATGCTATTATTTCTGTTGAGATGATTTCAACAGAAATTCCAACAAAAATATTCCGTTGGAATGAGTTTTTCATTGGAATTTCCACTGGATTTTCGCGATTCCAACGGGGTGAAAATAAATATTCCAACGGAAATTTCATATTCCAACGAAAATTCCTACAGTAAAAGCCGTTGGAAATATAGCTGTTCGAATCATCAAATTCCATCTAAAATTTCAATCAAACGGAATATTTTCGTTGGAATCATTCCAACGGAAGTTATACCATTAAAATATACGTTGGAATTTTCATTGAAAAAAAATTACCATAGAATTTTCCATTAGAATATAACAATTTTTTTGTAGTGTATATATACCGTTTGTAAATTTAATCGAACAGTGAATCCAAACCTATAAACATAATCTTTCAAGGATACACATATTTGTTACTTACAAGTATGCACTAATAACGTAGTAAAAATATTAATTTCATACAAAAAATTGCATACTAGGAAGAACAACTAATATTAGTTAATGGATACACAACATTGTGAGTTTATATATAAAACATGAAGAGGAACTTTGAGAACAATAAATACAATTATTTATAGGATATAAATGAATTGGCATAATTGCACTTGAGTTGTAATCCAAGTGAGTTTTATAGCATTACCCTCTTATTTTTAAGAGGGCTTCAAAGAATTGTGTTGCTATATGGCTAACTGTTAGAGATAATTTCCCATTTAAAATATAATATTATTGGTGGTAATTTTTGGTCAATTTTCCAACGCTAACAGAGCTAGTGCTGAAAGCTAATCGAATGACCTGAGCTTCTGCATTTTGAACTGTTTATTCGATTATGCTCGAACACTGTTCATGTTTTTTTTAAGCGAAAAATCGTGTTCAAGCCTGTTCGTTTATTTGCCGTCAAAATTGGAGTTCGTTCTTATTCGATTAATTTAATAAACAAAATTTTTTAAAATTATTAGGTTAACTCGAGACTTGTTTGCTCGAACTCGTTCGCGCTTGAAAATAAAAATAAAACAAAAGTATTTTCATATTTTAGATTTTTTTTTATTAAAAATATCATACATACAAAATAAAAATAAAATAAAATTATATTAAATTAATGTTCACGAAAGCACATTCGCGAATGAACTTGTTTTCGTTCGATTATTAAACGATCATAATTATTTGTTCGAACTCGGTTGGATTAATAAACAATTGAACTATTCAAAGACCAGTTCTGGCAACCAATTTTTTATTGAATGGGTATAGTCCTCTTGACAAAATGGGCTGCTAGTCAAAATTGGTCAAAAACCGGATCATTGGACCAATTTATATTTTAAAATTATTGTTAATATTTTTAAATACAGTTTAAGTTAAAAAATACATTGTTAGATATTTTGAATATGTATAAATACTCATATCATGTTAATTTTGGCATTTGCATGTTATAAATGATCTGATATTTAATTAATGATTTGCATGTATTATTTATTATTTGAAGTATTATATGGAGTAATATTTTAAAGTATTTATTTATATCGGTTCAATCACCAATTCAATGTTCGGTCCCATAGTGGTTAACCCTACACTTCACATTAATTTCTTCATAAAGGCTACACGCATAAGGTAACACCACTGGTAGTATAAAGCAAGTCTATTCACTCCAAGCCAAGTTCATGAATGAATCATGATGCAAGAAAGTGATTTATGATATAAACTTTGAAGTAATATATATAATTATCTCTATATATATCATAATATTATTATGTTGTCTTAGGTCCAATATTATGTTAAAAAATCATGTCAAATTAGCATCTTACTCCAAAACTTATGATGTAGACTTAACACTTCCCCATTCTAATCCTTCTCTAAAATATTAAAAAAAATAAAAAATGGAAAAAAAAAAAAAACTCTTCCAACTGGTGTTAGGGACAAATAACACGGCTAATATATGTGACAGTGACAAACACTATCGTAAGCGAATAATTTCGCATAAGGTTGAAATTACACGACAAGGCACCAACCAATTGGAAATTGGTCAACTGTATAAGTTTCTAAAGTGGAGTTTTTGTTTTCTTATATTTACTTTCTCGTGATGCAAAAAGTTCATTTTAGACTTGGAACAGCTGTGATCACACTCTATATGGGCATTGGAACAACTGTATAATTCTAAAAACTTTTTAAGATTTGAAAAATTCTGCTGTATTTAATTTAGATTTGTTAAGACTTTTTAAGACTTTTATTTAAAAGTCTTCAATTTAGATTTAAAGGAATCTTACAAAATCCTTAGGTATTTAATTTATTTGAGTTTATGATTTATTAAGACTTTTTAAGATTTTTTGCAATTTCTAAATAAAAAATTCTATACAAAATTCAACTTCAAATCCCACCTCCAAGTTTAAGATTTCACAAAATTTCTTCAAAATTTTAAAATCTTACAAAATCTGAAATTTTAAAAAATTTCAAAATATCATTTAAAATTTCAATTGAATACGTACTAATTGTTATATCGTTTGGCTACTAGCGGGGCAACTATTTCTCCCATTTTTTATTTGGTTGAGAAAATGAGAAAAAAATTTAAAACTACCCATGAATTTATTCAAATACAAAAATCAATATTTACGCAAATTTCATAATTTACTTCATAATATCTTTCATCTAGAAGTTGAACTTATATAAAAATAATTACTAGTACAAAATACCTGTTTTTTATCTTGTCATTTTTCTTACTCCATATTTTATGTGCAAAATAAAAAATTGAACAATAAACCAATAATTTTTCTATTGCAATCAGTGCACTGAATGGTGACACTCAACTGTACAAATCCATTATGGGGCAGAAGGCTGATGACCCCAAAATTTTCCATTCTCCCCCATCCACATTCCTTTATTTGCATTTCCTTTCATAATTTCAATTTACCAAGTAATGCTTAATATAGTAAATGTTACCAAATATGAAATTATTAAATATTATGGGAGAATTTTCTTAATTGAAGATTGAATAAATTGTTTCATTTAAGACCAATTAATGGACTGCACAAAAGTCCATAAATAATATTGACGACTGTTTCGATAAAGAATTAATGGCTTGACGTCAATCGTGTGGAGTTGTATTATTTACAAAATTATGTGAATATTGACTGAAACTGGCCGGAAAATTGGAGTTTTTTCATTACTCATTTTCTGGGAATTGTTCAAATACAACATATGGTCCTAGAACTAATTCTAATAATAATAATTCTGAAATTATTTGCAATCTCCAGCAAACACACGTGTATATATGATGGCCAGTAGAATATTAATATTATCACATAGCACTAAAAAACATGTCTATCATTCAACTGAAAATTGATGAAACAACTTAATATGAAAATCCAAAACAACCAAAAAGAATTGAAGAGAAAAGATTTAATGATACCTGTGGAGTGACTGCAAATTGCGGCTGGCAAAAGAGAGCTAATTTGAACGTTATGAAAATGGGCTTCAGTGTTGGCCATGGCCTTGCTTTTCTCTGTGAAGCATGGAAATAAAGCTAATAAAAGCGATGAATAGAGCAGAATTTCCAGCAAACGGAAAATTAAAGAATGCTGGAGAGTGGCCATAAGGAGAGAATAGCGAAGGCGGATCTTTGGTAATTTTATGGGTCGTGAGTTGTGAGTATATATTGGCTATCATCACCTCAGGATATATAATGATAATTATTGAATTTCAAGATTCCACGTCATTCACATGTCCCTCTATTAATACAAGTAATGATAAAAATACGAGTGTTAATTAAAAACAATTAAATTCATAAAAAATTAAGTTTTGGCACCCGCTGCCAATCTAGAGATGATTCGGTTGATCATTTTCATCGCTTACCAGACGCCTAGCAAAATATATTTTACCGAGTATCGAATCAAAAGATTCGTTACCCGGGTCGATCTCTCGAGGAAGGCGGTTCGGAATCTAGGAATGGTGTTGATAACACATAAAAGAAATATAAACCCTAAACACTCTTATCAAGATAGTGATTTTTAATTATCAACTACGGAAGAGAATTCAAACAATACAAAATCGAACTTAAAAGCAAAAATGAAGATCAAAGGATAAGAAGCTAGGGCATCGGGGATGATGATTTCCTAACCAATGCAAATATCAAGCTAAAATCATTCGGTTGGATGATTCGAACAAACCTAATGTCTAGAAATTAGTCCTCAATAACTCTTCGTAACAAGAGGGTAACATAGACGGTAAATCAAACAAATCACGCAACACATAGACAATACGTTTCTGAACAAGTCTATTTCATACGAGCCTAGATCGATCAACTCCTCCCCTTTCGGTTCTAAGAGTTGATTAATTATCCTAGACGATTGTTAATCTACTAGTTCGTTGGATTTAAACACATCACACAAGAACGAATTATATTCAATTGAAAATCAATTGCAAATCGAAGTGTCACTCTTCGACAATATTCAACATTCAATGCACGGAAATTATAAACCCTAGTTAAGCAAAACTCGCATAAATTGAACGATCAACAAGCATGAAAATCACAATTAAATTCTAAACATCATCATCATCCCCTATCCCTAGCGAAACGAATTAGCTACTCATATGGAATTCAATATAAACAATCTCAACAATCAAAGCCATCATGTTCATGGATTAGATGAAAAGAGAAACTTACGATTAAAAGAAATCCGATATTCAAATTCAATGACAGAGCTAAATTCGGAAAAGTAAAGAGAGAATTGAGCAAAAAGGATGATCTAAATCTGAGTTTAGAGATGAAGAAAGTGAAAAAAACAATACTGGGGATTGTTCCCACAAGTCTAAGGATCGTTTTCATATATAGTGCTCGAAAACGGAGCTAAAACGAGTAAAAACGGAGAAAAATAAAAACAGGGGCGAACAGGTCGCGACTCGCGAGATTATTCGCGAGTCGCGACCTTGGGCTCGCGGTCGCGACTTTTCTTTCGCGACTCGCGACATTGGACTGCACTGCGCCATTTTACGTTTCGGGCTTGTTTGGGCTCATCCGAACACGAAATTGAGTTCCGTTTTTTCCTACGCGTCGCTAACGAACCCATCTATCCAGTTATGCTCTTGAAACCAACGTTTCCTGAATAGAAAATTCTCCCGAAGCTCCCAACCTACACATAAAAAAATGACAAAACACGAAGAAAATCGGAAAAACCAAACGAAAAACACCTAAAGACTCAAAATGAAGGAAAACACATAATAAAACACGAAACGGACTAAAAATTAAAGAAACGACCTAAAACGGGGGAAAAAGAAAAGCAAAACGAGCACGAAAAATGCAACAAAAATGGAACAAACACCTATCAGCCCCGCAGCACCCCAGGCGCCCGTCTGCGCGCAGCCTTCAGTCCTTGTGCCCAGATCCCACATGCGCGCGAGCTCTCGTGCCCAGTGACGCTTGATCTTCGTCGCGCCCTTCCAGATCCGCACGCCCCGCGTTCAGAGGTGCCTAGATCCAGTGCCAGCAGCCGTGCCTAGTCTTCCCTACGGCCCTAGCAACTTCCATTTTTTGTTTTCGAGTCTTTTGAGAGGGAGATCTGAAAACCTGTTGATGCTCGAAAATTGATCAACATGGGGGGTTCAGAAGAATTTATTGTATATTTTTTGTATTGGATTTTTGTATGATTTTTGTATGAACAAGTCTAGAAAATATTGAAGAAGATGATGTAGTTTTAACGAAAGAAGCAGGGAGAAGTTCTTTTCTGGAGAAGTTCTTTTCTCATGCACCGCTTCAGATAAAAACAGAGAAAATAATAATGGCGCCCCCTCAGACTTATCTATCCAGGTCCATCATTGGGGTATTTATATATATGTTTAATGGGCCTGATATTATCACAAGCAATATTATTTAAGGCCCAAAAATATCCCAAAAATAAAATAATTGATATAATACATATCCACGTGTAATATTTTAACAGGCTAGGCCAAAATTAGGTATTAACAGTAGGCCCCCGACTTTAGGGCATGTTTTGAATGAAACTGTTCTGAAGTCGTATGTATAATCAATTTTGGCCGTAATCAATGTTGGCCGGGTACTTTGAGACCCGTGGAGCCAATGATGTGGATAGTCAAATTTTCTGGAATTTGAAATGAGGCCCGGATGGCCTAGTCGGGTAATTTGGTACCCGTTTCTCGCGTTTTTTTGCGTGGAATGCGAAGCGTTTGATGTGATAATAATGCTATGGAATTATGTGGGCACTCGAGCCCCCGGAATTGTTACCGGATTCGCGATTCTGTCGTATTAAGACGACGCGATATTTTGTTTGGTTTGTGTTTGTTTGTCTTTTATGTGGACCTGGTCGGATAATTCGGTATCCGGTCTTTGGTCTTTTATTTTTATTTCATTATTTCTCGGTCGGGCAGTGTGTTCCCGATCTTTGATGTAATGTGAAGGGCGTTAACCTTGCCAAACCAACTTCAGGGTTTGGAAAAGATTTTCTTATTATTATTTTTATTTAGATTCGGCTTTTCTATTGTGTCGACATCGTTTAGCCGAATGGTTTTTCGAGATTTCGAAGTTCGGCTTTTTTACTGTGCCAACGTCGGTTAACCGAATTATTTTTATTTTAGCAAGCTGAAGAACTCGGTGTAAAATTTTCTTTTTATATTTTTCCCAGCCGGAAAGGTCTTATTGACTTTGCCTAACTAGTGTGGGTCCTTAAGAATTTTTTGTTTGACTTTTTATGTTCATGTCAAGATGCATGTATGACGCGCGTATGAATGTATGTATGAATGCATGGAGATATGATAATTTCGTGCAATAAATGATTAACGCACGAAAAATAATGTTACCTCGATATTTTGTCGAGTCTGATTTTATCTGTCGGTAGGTGCTCTGTCTTACCGAAATATTAAGTCGGTATCTTTTGTTTCCGGCTAAAATATTCAGCATATCATTTTACTCGCTGAATTTTTAAAGAAATGTCGGCATTTTTTATTTCCGACTGGCATTAGCCTTACCAAATCATCTTCAGGACTTGGATGTATTGGGCTTTTGCCATACCGACTTTATTTTCGAGATTCGACCTTTTTACTGTACCAACGTCGGCTAGCCGAATTATTTTTCGAGATTCGGCTTTTTTACTGTGCCGTCGCTGGTTAGCCGAATTATATTTTGAGAGTCTGCTTTTTTACTGCACCGACGTCGGCTAGCCGAATTATTTTTCGAGATTCGGCTTTTTTACTGTGCCGTCGTCGGTTAGCCGACTTATTTTTATTTTATTTTACCGAGCTGAAGAACTCGGTGTAAAACTTTTATATTTCCCAGCCGGAAAGGTCTTATTGACTTTGCCTAACCAGTGTGGGCTCAGCCGAAGTAGAGGCTCAACGGCGAGAAAATGTAGAAGCCCTCTCGGTCGGAGCAAGGGCTCAACGACGAGGTAACATATACGTCAACTCAGCCGGAGTCAAGGCTCAACGGCGAGAAAATGTAAATAACAGCTTTGCCGGAGTCGAGGCTCTACGGCAAGCAAATATAAATGTGAGCTCTGCCGGAGTCGAGGCTCTACGGTAAGCAAAATAAGACGTCGGCTCAGCCGGAGTCGTGGCTCACGGCGAGCAATAATAGGACGTCACAAATAGACGAGTGATTTTGGCTTTCGCGTAGATAAACGAAGTCGGCCCCGGCGTTGATAAATAAATTCGGCCCTCGCATTGATATATGAGGTCGATTTCGGTTTGAATAAATTACCTCGACTTCGTCATCGATAAGTTAATCCGGCCCCGGCATTGGTAAATTAATTCAGTTGACACGTCAGTCGGTTTTGAATAATTTTCCACTCGCAGCTGCCGACATACTGGGTGATAATGTGTTTATTTCAATTGTGATTGATCACTTCAACCGCAGGTCAATTTTGAATATGCATTACAGCAATATTTCATAACCTCTGAGTTCAGGCCCAATTCCAATTCATCTTACTTTCCTTCATGGCCCATTACACCTTCTGTTTTACCAGCCCACAATAGATTCTTTATTACGTCCATAGGCTCAACAAGTGGGGTGGAAAATTCCTTTCTTGTTTGTAATCCCTATACGCGTATATGCACAATGTCTCTTTCTCACTTCTTCTTTGATTTGATTCCACTTCCTTCATTTCTCTGTTTTTGGGCCGAAATTGTGGGATTAATGTGAAACTTCGACGATGACGGAGATCGGAACTCGTGTAATGAAAATAGGGTCAACGATGATGATGCCGGCCGACTTCGAGATTAAAGAGATAGAGCCAGGACCCGATAACGACGAAATTGAAAAATAAAATCAGGCCCTGAAGCCGACGAGGTTATAGAGAGATTTAGCCGTCTTTGAGGTTGATTTCACTAATAAGAATTGCTGAATTTGTATCGTTGATCTCAATTTTGCCTTTCAGTGGCATAATTTGGAAGTCGGTAGAGATTTGGGATCAACCGAGTTTGGGAAGTTTGTCGGGGAGTCGGTTTGTGCAGCTCGGTAATCGGCAAGGAGGAAGTCGGCCAAATGAGGTCAACTTCGACAGGGAGAAGTCGGCCAATTTGCGCCGATGTCGGCCTGTTATTGAGGTCGGGCCCATTCTGAGATCGGCCCCAGCTCGGAGGTTGGCCGGAGAAGACAAAGTCGGCCTTAACGCTCATTGGTAAGGTCGATTTATGCTGACTATTGAAGTCGGTTGGTGCCGACTATTAAAGTCGGCCCTTTTGAAATCCGAGTTGAATTCAGAGAAGTCGGCCCATCTCTGAGGTCGGCTCGGCCTATTTCCGGGTCGTCTCGTGAAGCCGGTTCAACGGTGAAGTCGAGCCCGAGTGACTGAGGTCGGAAGTCGGTGATGATATTGACTCGTGAAGTCGGTCTCGGTTATTGTTGAAGTCGCCTCCAGTTTGCGACAGAACTGAGATATTAAACTCGGTTCGGGGGCACGAGATCAGTTCTGGCCGACTTTTGCAGCTCGGTTGGGCTTGCTTGGAGGTCGGCCAGATTGTGAAAAGGTCATTCTCGACAACTGAAATCAAGTTGGAAGGTGATTCGGGGCTTGTCGAGGTCGAATCCGTTGGTGAGAGATGAAGCTCGTCAATAAACGACGAGGTCGGACCTCGGTCGGTTGCGGGGCCAATTCTGATCGTCATTGGTAAAGTAGGATTCGTTCAAATTCGGTATTTTCGATAAACATGGAGTGGGGCCCACGAGATTAAGTGGCATCGTCAACTAATACACGTGGCAATTGTCAAAGAGTTCTTGTCGACGAGGTCACCGCCATAAAAAACTCATCATCATCAATAGATGACTAACACTTATCTGTTGTGGATCATCTTAGCTTCATCGGTAAATTGTACTGCAATGTCGAGCTCGTTCGGTCATTGAGACATCTCTCTGCGTGACTCTCTGTTGTTTTTATATCCGGATACCATTTCGGCATATATGGAGGAATTTTGCAAAATTTCCTTTCTTTTTCTTCTTTTCTTTTTTTTTTTTTTTTTTTTTT